GGGAGGACACATGTTGTGAAAGGGCACTTTATTATACATTGGTTTGGACAGAAATTGTTCCAAGGAACAAACTAAAAACAAATACATTCAGCTCCTAGTTAGACTTTTTTTTTTTTTTTTGAATTTTAGGTGTTTTACTTTCACTCTCATTTTTTAACCCACTTCGACTTTGTCTATCTTCAATATTATCTTCAAGTTTCTTTTTTCTTTTCTTTTTTTTTCTTTTTTTCTTTTTTTTTGTTTTTTGTTTTTTGTTTTTGAGAAAAGAACATCTTCAAGTTTTTTTCTTGAATATAATAATATCTTGAAGTTGAACACTGGCCTCGTTCACTTCGTTGATTCGAGTTTAGAATTTGAGTTTTTCTACAGTAAAAAGCTCTCATAAACAATCACATCTAACTTTTTTACTACAGTAAAAAGCTCTCACATAAAATCACATCTCAACTCGAATTCTAAACTCGAATCAGCGAAGTTAATGAGGCCTAATTTCATTTAATGTATTTGGGGTAATACCATGTTCCTTGATTCCACGTCATGAGATACTAGTAGTTCGCCTTTTATCTCTTCTGCACTCTATTAGAACCCTCTCTTTTAATAACCAAAAAAAAAAAAAAAAAAAAAAAAAAAAAAAAAAAAAAAAAAAAAAGAGAATATATACAAATGAAAAGCATAATATTTATATATGTTAGGATAAATTAATGTCTTATTATTTTTTTTCGCTTTTATATTTTACATGAAAATACAGTCTTCTCAGGAAGAGTGAAAGAGGTCTATTACATATTTAATATCCAAATCACTGAAGACTATCCTTTTAATTGGTATATATACATATATATATATATATATATATATAATCCAACTTCCTTGTGAAGGGTCTTTATTCATTAGCACAATTAAAAGAGAATTGTTGATAAATAGGAGAGCAGATAAATGGGAGAAGAAACGTGGAAGATGATCAAAAGGGTGAAGACACAAGTGGGGTTTGAATGTGGTGGCAAAGTTACCCCACGTGATAAAGAGTGAAGTGAGGAGGCACATGTTGTTTGGTGGCCTAGTATTTTCTACTTCTTTTTTTCTTTTTTTTTTAATTTAAAAAAACACTTTTCATTTCCCTTCTTAGCCAAAGCCAAGAACCTATACTTGCTGCTCTCGTTTCCCCATCCGTCCGAAATGCACCTCTTTTGCCAACTTAAAACCGTTGTCTGTTAACACATTGCAAAAGCTTCCGAGGGAAACAAAACTAAGCACTCATTCATTTCATTGATTTAAATTTAAAATTCGAGTTTTGTTACAGTAAAAAATTCTCATAAACAGTCATATTTAATTTTTCTATTATAGTAAAAAATTCTCACATAAAATCATATTTTAACTCAAATTAAAAATTTAAATCAGTGAATTAAACGAGCCCTAACTCTTGAGGCTAGGTAGTAACCTATAGGCCATGGCATGGTTTTTGCGGCATAGTTTACTTACTCGTCACCCATGTGAAAGAGATTACTTACTCTTAAATTTATTGAGGCACAAGATTATAATGTTTTCTTGTGATTCATCATTGACTTGAGAATTGCCATTTGGATCCAGTTGGTAGCAACAATTGCTCTCTCTCTCTCTCTCTCTCTCTCTCTCTCTCTCTCTATATATATATATATATATATATATATATTTTAAGGGTTACTTCCATTTTTTATGAAATGATGTCACCTTAGGGCCCAATGATATCATTACCTTTCAACACCGTTATTGGAAATAAGAAAACCCTCGTCGAAACAAGCAGAAAGGAAAGGTGTCCAGAGGAAAAAAAAAAAACCTCAAGACTCTAGAACAAATGATCAAAACCAATGCTATTTATTGGACGGTAAAATTTATAAAAATAAAAAATAAAAAAAGAGGATCGAACTTGGTCAATAAATAACTTTTTTCTTTCCTTCTTAGCCTCAGGCTACTTTTTGTGTGTGTCTATTTTAAGATTTTTTTTATAAGCATTTAAGGTGTAGTGGGCTCGTTTAGTTTGTTGATTCGAATTTTTAATTTGAGTTGAGATGTGACTTTATGTGAAAATTTTTTACTGTAGTAAAAAAATTAAATGTGATTATTTATGAGAATTTTTTATTGTAACAAAACTTAAATTTTAAATTTAAATTAGTGAAATGAACAGAATCGGTGTGCATGTTGTAATACTTCTTTTATTAAAAAAAAAAAAAAAAAAAAAAAAGGGGGGGGATTTTTTTTTTTAAAAAAAAAAAAAAAAAAAAAAAAAGAGGCTGGATATTGATTTTTATGACCATGAATGCATACGTGTCCACATATGATATGTATGCAGTTGTTATTTCGTGAAAAACAAAAAAGGAAAACATATTAGAAAAATAAAAATGTATGCAGGCACGATATTGGACACCCGTATGGATAGATACAATTATTGGCCTACGTCTTATTAATCTGCATATAGATCGTTTGTAAAGGTGCAACATATGTGCCCTTCGATTATCTTATTCCTGAACAAGCAGTCCATCAAAGCTTTCTGGCAAAAAGGGGACCAGCAATGAAACAAATTTACCATATTTTTTAAACTCTAAAGTTCTTGCGACTCTAATTACGGCTCAAATTTTTTGTTATAGTATTTTTTTTTAAAAAAAATTTATTAAGAATTTCTTAATGGGATAGTAAATAGAAAAAGGAGTACAAAATCAAGAATTGTATTACTAAGTTTCGAACCAAGAAATTTGGTTAAAGAAAATATATATGAGATCCATGGAAATTAAGCATCACTAATGTTGTGAAAATCCAATACGTCCCACACAGTTGCATTAATTGTTACCATAATGCTGCGACAAGAAAGTAATTTGCATGATAAAAACCATTTATGACAAAACAAAACAAAACAAAAAAAGTAGTAATAGTAGGATCTTCATTCTTCCCTTGCAGCTATGCTTCAATCTATGGCCCCTCGTCAATAAACATTATTAAATTCTACTGCCACAGCAATTGAAATTCAACATAATCTGATTCCAATGTGGTCAATTCCAAAAGCATGTGGTGGACTCCCAAGAAGAAAATCAGGTCTCGTTCATTTCACCGATTCGAGTTTTCAGTTTTAGATTTCTACAGTAAAAAATTCTCAGAAA